ATCAGTCTCTGACTTCATGATCAGTCTTTCATGATCAGTCTCTGACTTCATGATCAGTCTCTGACTTCATGATCAGGCTCTGACTTCATGATCAGTCTCTGACTTCATGATCAGTCTCTGACTTCATGATCAGTCTCTGACTTCATCACAAATTGGGGAAAAAAGCCAACAACATGAATTGACTCTATAAACGTTTAGGAATATGTTTTGATTGGTTCACATGGTTTTTTTTGGTCAATGTTTTACTATCTCCTGGACTCAATAGCCTATTGACAGATGTGATTGTCTTATTATTGAAAGTCCTGGCAATGTCGGTCAACGCTTTGCCCCTTGCAGTCTTATATATCATTTCTGTTATCTGCTGAGTTCAGACTTGCACTATAATGAAAAGCAACTAAACATAACAAAATAATGTGAAAAATAAGAGAAGATATCATTGAGAAGATCTCTATACAAAGAAACACGCGCAGTCGTAGACTCCATCCCCAGAAACGTGTCTACAGATCGGAGCAACGCGTCCAACGACTTTGAGGAGGACACAAGGTGACAGGGAGGATTTGCTGACTGCTCATAGCGTGTAGGTACATACGTGGGGACACTTCGTGGGGGAGCATGGGTGGTAGGTAGGCAGGTAGGTAGGTAGTTAGGTAGACAGGTAGGTAGGTAGGTAGGTAGGTAGACAGGTAGGTAGACAGGTAGGTAGACAGGTAGGTAGGTAGGTAGGTAGGTAGGTAGGTAGGTAGGTAGGTAGGTAGGTAGGTAGGTAGGTAGACAGACAGACAGACATGTAGGTATGTAGGTAGGTAGGTAGGTAGGTAGGTAGGTAGGTATCCAGGAAGAAAGAGCTGCTCCTCCTGTCTACCGTGGTATTGTGACAAGGCCAAGCAAGAGGAAGCAGTTCTCAGAATACACCACAGATTTTTTGTCTACGGAAAACTGGAAGAAAAAAGAGAAATCTCAGACAAAAACTGGTCTAATAATATTGGACAATGGGGTGAAATGGTCTAATAATATTGGACAATGGGGTGAAATGGTCTAATAATATCGGGGTGTTTTAGGCTATGGCCTCAGCTCTACACAAGTTGGCTTTTTGTTTTGGACTAAGTCAGAATGCAATAAAGACTGTCGCTCTTCAGAGAAGGGATTGTGCGAGAAAACGGAATTGGGAAGAGCTTGACAGCTGTCTGATCTATCCCTGACGGAAACATACTAGTATTATTCTTTGCAATAAAACCATCGTGAAGGTCTACAGGAATGACTGCCTGTGTAGCCTTGTCTCGGGCGTCTGACGGAATAGATATCTAAGGCAAGCCAAGGAAACTGAAATGTTGCGCAGTGATTGAGAACTAAGCGTGAAGCAAGACGAACAATTGAGAGGTTCCGTTTAGCGGAGAGAAGCAGTTTGCACACGGCAAGAAAACACACACACATCTAGAGATTACGTCAGCTGTGATAGATAGTGTTGAATCCACACACACACACACACACACACACACACCAGTGGCGGTGGGTGGACCAAGATTTGGGTGGGGCTTAGGTTTCTTCCACTTCTTTATCACCAAAAAGCAAGCAATAAGAACAAAACAGTGATGATTTTTCTATACTCACGGCGAGCCACGGCATTTTGAGAACCATTCAAACGA